TTATAAAAACCGAGGTCCCCGAGGTTTTTATAATTAGTTTTTATTGGTCATAAACCCAAGGCCGGAGCATTTACCCAACAACAAAATTAGTGGACAGCTGTTATTTGTGTTGCTATGACAACTCGTGTGCTGGACGAGTATTTGTTGTCATTGGTTCTTTTACTCTTCATAGGCTATCAGATCATTTTCCTTATTCGGTCTATTTATAACCAGTATCTATAATGGAGATCTGCAACTATAATCAGCTTCTACTTTGCAACACTAACGGATTAGTCCCCTTTGTCGATTGATGGATCAATCGGTAGATTCGGCTCTGTTTTTCTTCCCTTTCTTTCTTGTTTTGAATTGTACGTTGAACTCATTGGATTTCTTTGTATTGGATTTCTTTGTATTCTGTATCTCGTTATCGTTATATTTCCCTCTAGCCCTCTCGCTTAGGATGAGCTTTCTTTTTTATGGCAGCTTAAGCGAAGGCTATATACCTGCTTTATGCAGGTTGATGCCAACGCGAACAAGCAAAATAATAATAATAATCTATAATGAGAGTGTGGTCTGTCTCCATGGTTACCGGTGTTCATTTCATAACTATAGCCACTGCTCCTTGTTATACCTTACTAGTATTTGGAAGGCCCATTCTTGCATATTCCAACAGCAGCCAAGGGAGCTAGCTCTCTTGGTTATGCGGACTGGGTCCGATCCTAAAAAGCTGTTTTTATGAACTGTTTTTATGAACTGTTTTTATTGGATAGGATGATTATGTTGAATAAACGAGGTTTGTGTCAATGGGAGATTGACTTGGAGTTTTTACGAGTTGATTCCTAGGCGGTGTTTACATGAGGCGTTTCAACCCGGGTTGAGTTCGACCCGGGTCAGATTTCAACCCGCCATGTGCATAAAATGAATTGCGCGTTTACATGACGCATTGCGCTTGACCCGGGTTGAAATTTCGCCCCGGGTTGATTTCAACCCTCCGATCCCCCCAAGGGGAGGGTTGAAACCAACCCGGGTCAAGAAAATCGTACAAGCGTACTTCTGTGCGTATCTCGCGCCAGGTTTGAACAGCACTGCAGATGCAAATTTCGCGCGAACGGTTTCACGTGACCATGCAGGACTGTAGTCGTGTAGAAGTGGACTTTTGGCGGCATATCAGTATTTGACCCGGGTCAACTGTCTTCATGTAAACGCTCACCTCTTTTGTCTATCGTACAGACTTTCAACCCGGGCTGAACTCGACCCGGGTTGAAATTTCTCATGTAAACACAAGGGGAGGGTTGAAATCAACCCGGGTCAAGAAAATCGTACAAACGTACTTCTGTGCGTATCTCGCGCCAGGTTTGAACGGCACTGCAGATGCAAATTTCGCGCGAACGGATTCACGTGACCATACAGGACTGTAGAAGTGGACTTTTGGCGGCATATCAGTATTTGACCCGGGTCAACTGTCTTCATGTAAACGCTCACCTCTTTTGTCAATTGTACAGACTTTCAACCCGGGCTGAACTCGACCCGGGTTGAAATTTCTCATGTAAACACAGCCTATGGTTGATAAATATGGTGGTAAACACAGCCTAATAGATAATAATAAAATAATAATAATACAATACGGTGAACTGTGCACCTGACTGAAATTCTTGAAAAACAAGTTTTAAGAGATCTTGTTCGCTGTTGCACCACGATCTGTTGCCATACAGCGGGCTTTCAGCCAGTGTGCCAAAAACACAAGAGCATGAAAAGAAGTGTGTGATCATAAGCAGGAGTTGGGGCATGGGCTATATCGTACTAGGTTGGGAATGCTTCAAGTATCCTTTGATTGTGCATGCCATGAAGAATTTGTCTTTAGAACACTGCTCTGATAGCATAGTGGCCTGATGGAGGATTGACTTCAGTCCACCGGTCGACCATAATCTACAGTTCCGGTCAACCTAAGCCGGCCAGAAAAATAAAATAAAAATAAAAAAATAAAATAAAAAGTATGAATGCCGCAGACATCACCACGCAACATGACAATTTGTTCAAGGTTTGGTTTTGTGTGTTTCCAAAATCGATTTTCACGCTCCGATCATCAGTGGAAATACGGAACTAAGGAGATCAAGGGAAAAACAAAGGTTAAAAATCCAAAGACGTGTGACCATGGTGACACATGACGGGTAAATGACGGCGAGGATACAGATGACGACGAGGCGGGTGATGACGAGGCAGCGGATGACGACGAGGCGGATGACGATGAGACGCCTGGTGGTGATGGTGAAAAAACGGCCGAGGAGGAGTCAGGTGGCAGGGAAGGTGATGGAGCTGATGAGGGTGAAATTCGTAAGAAGTCAGCTGTGTACTTGCATTTGTTATCTCGTCCCGATTGTTTGAGTGTGTATGATGATTCCCACTTCTCTGTACTGTGTCGTGCCCGTTATGTTCAGCAGTTGAAGGTCCTTGAAGCTGTTTGTATTCGTACGCATAAGCCCGAATTGTGTAAGCAAAAAGAACATGTTTTAGCATTTAGGTTATTTTCGTGAGTTTGCACCCCGTGTTCATGAGTTGTTTCTGCACTGTTCATGCCCGTTTGTCACACTTACGCTTTATTTTTAGTTCTCACTTTTTGTAATGCTTACCACAAGTTACCCGTCATGTGTCACACGTCTTTGGATTTTTAACCTTTGTTTTTCCCTTGATCTCCTTAGTTCCGTATTTCCACTGATGATCGGAGCGTGAAAATCGATCGATTTTGGAAACACACAAAACCAAACCTTGAACAAATTGTCATATTGCGTGGTGATGTCTGCGGCATTCATACTTTTCATAGCTATTATTAAACTTTTATCTCCACGTAGATTATTTAAATAAAATAAAATAAATAAAAAATAGGGTTGACCTACCCAATTCTTGAAAGACGGGAATTTTCGTCAATAATGTCCCCTTCTGGTGAAGTAATCAGTCTGCACAGGCTTGCTTTGCAGCCCCTACTCTCCCTGCTGTTTTGTCATTGTATACTACCTTCGACAGTCAACTGACATTCTGCCAGCAGATTCGACAGTCAGCCCTGCGTGCCACACAGCGACTGGGCTTCCTGAAGAAGGCCTCAGCAGTGCTTGACCCTGGCTGCCGTCTCACCGTCTACAACGGCTTTGTTCGCCCAGTCTTAGAGCATGGCATGCTAGTCTGGATGGGTGCTTCTCAGACGGTGCTGGCCCAACTCGATGCTGTACAGCGGAGAGCCCTGCATCTGATCGGCGAAGGCGCATATCTGCCAAGCCTCGAACTCCGGCGCAAAGTGGCTGCTCTCTGCTATCTCTACAAAATCCACTACCTGACAGGCCCACAGATGCTAACCCGAATGCTGCCCCCCTCCCAAGCAGTACCAGACCACGACCAACATCCTGCCAACACCAGGCAGCAGGCGCGGATGGCGGCCGGCCACCGCTACCAGCTGCAGTCTGATATCCCAGCCAATTCTCGCAACAACGTCCACCGGTCGTTCCCTGAAGGAGTGCTGGACACCTGGAACCAGTTGCCTCGCCAACACCTCCTGGATCAGCCCGACCAGAAGAGGTTGCAGTCCTTCAAGTGCAGCGTCCACCGATTCCTGCGCTCGAGCCACTGGGACTGGGCGACCGACCGGCTGTAGGGACTCGGCGTGGTGGTTTTCTGGACGTTACTGTGAGAGAGTGAGTCTGTGCACAAATATTATGTATGATTACGCGTCTGCGTGAATGTGCACGTGTGTGTCTGTGTGTACGTGTGTGTGTGTATGTGTGGTGTGTGTGTGTGGTGTGTGTATGTGTGTGCGTGTGTGTGTGTGGTGTGTGTATGTGTGTGTGTGTGTGTGTGTGTGCGTGCGTGTGTGCGTGCAAGCATGTGTGTGTGTGTGTGTGCGCGCGTGCGCGCGCGTGTGTGTGTGTGTGTGCGCGCGCGCGCGCGCGTGTGTGTGTGTGTGGGTGGGTGGGTGCACATGGTTGGTATGTGGTGTTTATGTGAGCGTATGATAATAATCTCTTCAATAATATTAATATCTTTATTTCAAGATTACCCAACGCCGGCGAACGCCCTATCAGGTTGATCTCCTATTTGAACATGCGCATATGTGTGTGTATGATGTGCCCTAGCTCACTTATAATATTATTATTATATTATACACGTAGATCATGTCCATGATGCCTTTCCTCTGCGCAGGTCCACCGCACTATTGTTTTTAAGATTAACATCATTATTACTTCTGCATATGCATTACATACTATGATCATGCTGGCTTCATCCCTTATCTCCTAAGCTACCCCCCCCCCCCCCCCCCGGTGCGTCTGCCCAGTGTTGACTCCGAGACCCACGGTCGGACGACCTGCCCAGGCCTCACCACCACTGCCGTTTCCGTGCTGCCTTCTCGATACATACGTATGTACACTGTATATCATGTGCACATTCACATGTCTGAAGGTTTGTGGTTTTTCAATAAAAATAAAAAAAAATAAAAAAAATACTCTGTTGTCTTCTCCCCTTCTGACGAGTAGGTTGTGTACTTAGTAAAAAAAAAAAAAAAAAAAAAAAGTCTGATGTCTCCGTCACTCATACTTTATTTATAGCACTCCTGGTCCAGTACCCTATTATTTGCGCACCTACTGAAATCCTAGTGCTACAGCCCTGTTCCAACAGCCTAAGAAACCCTCACTCCAATGAATGCACGAACATGCACAGCTTTACTCCGCAGCCGTGGTCCTGAGCATGCCCTGAGCATGCCCTGAGCAACCCAACGCAGACATAGCCTCTGGCTGAAGGACAGGAACAGTCCTATAATATCCAGTGATTTCATCAATTCCACTAATCCAGTCCACGGATCAAATTCCACTGGCGTTCAACAGATGAAAGTCACGAGAAAACGTTATGGAACTTGACTCTTTATTTAAAAACTTTTGCTGTAGTTATGAGTGCACAACTGAGCTTATCCTTTGCCATTTTACGACTATTATCTTCTCTTAGATGATTTCATCAATATGCACAGACTCAGTAAGGTGTCATACAGTAAAACCTGGTTTAAGCGACCACCCCACGGTGCAAGCAAAAGCGGTCATTAAAGCGAGGTGGTCTTTAGAACCAGGTCCCACAGAGTCTGTGTAGAACTGTCCGTGCAAGAGAAAACGGTTGTTAAGAGCATGCAGGTGGTCGGTAAACACAGAGGTTGCTTACACCAGGTTTTACTGTTTGTACCAGTACGTGTATACCATGGTTGACTACACCTGCCACCCTCCCCGATGTGGCCGCAACCGTCCCGGTATCCAGGGTGGTACTAGGCACCTAAACGTGCATGTGTCAAGTGCTTCACAGGGTATGCCTAGGTATGGAGATATGGCATGCCTAAGTATGGCATGCCAAGGTATGGCATGCCTAGGTATAGCATGCCTAGGTATGGCATGCCTAGGTATGGAGATATGGCATGCCTTGGTATGGCATGCCTAGGTATGGCATGCCTAGGTATAGCATGCCTAGGTATGGCATGCCTAGGTATGGAGATATGGCATGCATTGGTATGGCATGCCTAGGTATGTCATTGTCCCGATCTCGGGTTTGCAACGGTTGGCAGATACGGTGTGTCCATGTGTGTCATGATAATGTCCAGTGATGTCATGGTACCCAGACAAAGATACCCAACGTATGATACTATACTATTCCTGTTTGTATTCACGCCGGGAAGATCACCTGTTCCCTTCGCATCACGTCAACAGGTCGCCACGCTGTCGCCAGAACTGCTCTCGGCTTCAGCAGCCGTGCCGGTTTCCTGCAAGTCATCATTATCTCCGCTGAAGCCGCTAGTGCGGTCACTGGGGGTCATGCACTCGAGCTCCAGGGCGCCGCCAAACACAGTCAGGTTCTCCTCTTCCTCGCCGGTGACGTCCTGGTAATCGGTGTGATGCTGCTGTCCCGCAGGCGTTGTGACAATAATTGCAATCTGGAGACGAGCAGTGAAGCAGAGGCAGGAAGAAGCCTGCTCAAGATAGCATAGGGACACCATAATCGCATATACCCGTATTTTTCGGAGTATAAGCCGCAACCCCCCCCCCCCCTCTTTTGCCACGAAATACAGGCATCTATTCGGTCACTGTCGTGCAATGTTATCGCATGAGCTGATTGTTTAGTAACTGGTGGTGTTAGTGGATATTATAGTGCAACTTGTAGTTTCTCGGTTCTTTTTTCTTTACTAGACATTTATTCTATTTGTCACCGTTAATTTGATCGTACGAGTATAAGCCGCACCCTCTCCTTCTTTGGGGGTGAATTTTGACTGTTCAAAGTACGGCTTATACTCCTGAAAATGCGGTACGAGTAGGAACAAGGCTTTAATAAAACAAATTCCTGAACTTGTCCTACCACAATACTGCCAAGTGTTGGAGTGACTGCACCGACATACCTGAACGTGTGTACACACAGGGGTACATGCATGTGCATACACACACACAAACTCACTCACACACACACACACACACACACACACACACACACACACACACACACACACACACACACACACACACACACACACACACACACACACACCTTGAAACCTTGAAACTGCCACCTAAAGGTGATGCAGTGCCTCAAAGAGGCAAGGAGGGCAGAGTTACTTCTTGCATTTGTGTTGAGCCAGGTACTGGAGACGTGTGAACTTCCGAGAGCAGGTCGGGCATGGGATGGTGCGGCGCTCGGAGCCAGAGCTGCATGTTCTGCGGTTGGAGTTGCAGTTGTGCCAGCGGTGCCCAGCTTTGCTCCGGAAACAGCGGTCACAGGTGTGGCAGTGGTAATGACATTGGCTGCAATCAGGTGGGCGAGGTGCAACAATCTCTGGAACTGGAGCGTCACCAAGACTGGGAGAGCAGCTGTGCACAGCAAATCCACCTGGGCTAGCAAACCAACGATGGCACGTTTCGCACAACACAGCACCGGCCTGTTCATGGATCGGCTTCAGTCGCTCTTCCCTGCATTTGTGCCGCCGAAGTCCGCTTTCACTGGCGAAGAGTCGCTCACAGATCGCACAACACACTGACTTGGCTGTCGTTTCAAGGCGTAAGCGCCGTGCAACAATAGCATCCGAGATGGACTGGATCCACTCGCCACGTTCAGCTGCGAGGTCGTACCAACCGGTGTATAGACCGAACGCCTTGAGGTCATCGCGTACCACATCACGTCATCGACGCCTGGGGCCATAAGCAGGGCGTGGAGTATGGAGCCACGAGAACAACACTGCCTTTGGAAGCCGGTGGTCGTCCATCCTGGCAATGTGGCCAAGCCACTGCAACTGTCGACGGGCAACCATGTCAGCAACTGGCTCTGTAGCGCACATTCTATGCAGCGAGGCAGATGACAGGTGGGCCTCCCACTGTTTGGAACGCGAGATGCCGAGAATGACACGAACGCAGCGGTTGTGGAATTGTTCAAGGCGACGTATGTCGGCACGCAACAGTGTCCAGTTCTCAGCCCCGTACAACAGCACCGACAACACACAGCATGTGTACGTGTGTTGTTTCGTCTTGGATGTTAGTGAAGTGTTCCGAAAAACTGACGAGTAGAGGCTGCCTAAGGCCTTAGATGCAGCAGCTATGCGGTTGGACACATCGGTGTGGCATCGTCCGTCTGGTGTTACCACTGAGCCGAGATATGTGAACTGGCTGACATGCTGGATGGCGTTGCCTTGTACGCTTAGCGGGGTACGGTCACTGTCGTTGATCTGATGCCCAACAGCCATGAACACTGTCTTTGCCATGTTGAGAGACAGCCCGAATGCTCCACTGACCTCCGCAAATATCTCAAGCATACGCTGAGCATCCGAGTGGCTGGGTGCAAACAAGGCTGCATCATCAGCAAACTCACCATCTGTGATGACCATATCATTACCACGCTTAGATCTCTTGAAAAGCTGACCATCGGCACAGGTACGGAGTGGAAAACCAGACACTCCACGCTCTTGGACGCGTGCGCACCAACGTTCCATCACTGCACCAGCAAACAAGTTGAAAAGGACTGGTGCCATTGTACACCCTTGGCGCAATCCGTTGCACACTGGGAAGCCTTCAGTGGGGGAACCATTAACGATGATCGTGGCTGTCATGTTGTCGTGAAAAGACTTCAGAAGGCTGACCAGTTGCTCCGGGACTCCCAGCTTCAGCAGGACAATCCACAGTGCAGCACGCGGAACAGAATCGTATGCCTTCCTCAAATCGACAAACACCAGGAATCCCTTGGATTGGTGCTCGTGACACTTCTCCACAACCTGGCGAACAACAAACGTCATGTCCGTGCAGGAGCGACCTTTCCGGAAACCACACTGTGATTCAGGCAGCACACTTTCGGCGACTTTCTGCAATCGGTTTTGCAGCAGGCGTCCGAACAGCTTGCCAATGACGTCGAGGAGTGCGATGCCACGTCAGTTGTCGCAGCTAGTGAGGTCACCCTTCTTGGGTATCGGTATTATCTCAGCATTCACCCAATCTTGCGGTACTACGCCCTCCTCCCAAACCGCGGTAATGAGCTTAAACAGATTGGCATAGAATAGGTCGCAGTTGTATTTGACCATTTCCGGTAGAATGCCGGAGCTTCCAGCAGCTTTCCCGTTCGTAAGATAGCGAAGGCAGCGCTGGGCCTCTTCAGCAGTGGGTGGGGTGGCCAAGTGTTCCATGATGTTGCGCTGCTGGACCATGTCAATTTCAGATCGGACAAAGCCGCTTGGAAGGTTCAGCAGCTTTTCGAAATGTTCAGACCAGCGGTTCTGCTGTGCCTCAACGGACGAGCATGGTGAGCCATCAGTCTGTTTGATCAGGCACGACTTAGTGGGAATCAATCCGCGCCGGGCAGTCTGTAGATCCCGGATGCTGTTCCACACAGCCTTACACCCAAACTTCCTAGATTCGGCATCAGACGCAGTCTTACGGAACCAGTCCTCCTTAGCACTGCGTACAGCATCCCTTGCAGCTGAGCGCGCGCGGACAAACTCTTGCCGGACCAGAGGTGATGGATCTGCTAAAGATTTCTGGAATAGAGTGTTACGATGTGCAAGGAGAGGCTCGAGAGTGGCGGAACTGGCTGAGAACCAATCTGGCTGACGACGGCGACTCTTGCCTAGGACAGAGGTAGCTGCTTTAACTGTGGCGTCCCGTAGTGAACTCCATTGATCCTGAACTGAGGTCCCTGGTGCAGCGTCTTGCAGACAGTCGGATGAGGTATGGTACCACTCCGCCACAGTTGCTTGCCTTACTAAATCATCATCCTCTGATGCAGTTGGGTCAGCAGGTCCGAGCTGGGATACATCAAAGCGACGGCGATCAGGGGCCTTGCTCTTTGGCGGGTAGAAACGCCGGCGGCAAACAAGTGACAGCGTTAGCCCAACAAGTTTGTGATCGGTCCCACACTCAGCAGACCGGTACACACGGCAATCTGTACAGCGCTGAAAATCCCGCTGCCGGGTGATCACATAATCAATACAGTGCCAGTGCTGTGAACGTGGGTGCTGGCACGTAACTTTATGAATGTCCTTTTTCTTGAAGTACGTATTACAGAGTCGAGAGTTGAACATGGATAGAAAGCTCAACAGTTCCTCACACACTCACTCACACACACACACACACACACACACACACACACACACACACACACACACACACACACACACACACACACACACACACACACACATATGCACGCATGCGAACACACACGCACATACAAACACACACACACACGCACACACATACATGTACGCGCACACACACATACATGCACGCGCACACACATACACACATACAAACACCTTTGACCTTTGACGCCCATCGCCGGAGGCGATGATAGCAATGCTACGGCAGAAGCCATAGCAACTTGTGCTGGGATTACACCATTCAACAGCTTGCGAGGCTGAAGAATTGACCGTCACTATTCAGCCTGGTCTACACCATACAGCTATTTGGAGTGACATTTTCTGGCCAGTGAATCCCTTTTTTTGGTCTTTTTTCATTTTTTTTTCATTTTTTTTCTTTTTTTTCCCGCACACACATCACACCACATACTCCGGCATGCACTGGCTGTTGGTAACCACCCAGGAGAATGAAAGAAAAGTCAGGAAGAGTCTGAGAAAGAGAAGAAAGACGTGTGTGACCATAATCGTCGGGAATCGAACCCGCAATCATACAAACACACACACACGAACACACACACACACACACACACACACACACACGCACACACACACACACACACACACACACACACACGAACACACACACATACACACACACACACACATGCACACACATACATGTACGCGCACACACACATACATGCACGCGCACACACATACACACATACAAACACACACACACGAACACACACACACACACACACACACACACACACACGAACACACACACATACACACACACACCTAGTATCATGAAAGACTATTAAGCCACTCACATCTGGTTGTGGCACGTGTGGTATCTCTCCTGCAAGGCTGAAGCTCTGTGGGCTCTCACTTTGGCTGGGATCTCCTGCTGTTGTTGAAAATGCTGTCATGTGAATGAAGTCAAGAGCCTTCCATTCAGTGCAGAGAAGATACCATGCAAGAAAAAAAGAGAACAGAATACTTGTGTAACCTACGTGGAGACAGCAGTTTAATTATAGCAATGAACAGGATGAACTGTGCACTCATTCTAAACACACACATTAAGAGGGAAAGTGGATGGTTTAGGTCCTCTCCTAACCCATCAACTTTTCCTTGATGTGTGTTTAGAACGAGTGCGCCGTTCGTCCTTTTCATTGTTATGAATACATTGGTCTCAATGTGCAGTGAACACTATGTCGATTAAAGGGGAAGTCCGGTGAACAATTTAAATTTCACAGTCCGTAGAGTTCGGGTCGCTGAGTCGAATGGTCTTTGTCCGAGGAGGCTGCGGCTTATGGTTCGTCAGATACGCCCAATCGAACATGTGCGAATTTGACCGCGCATCACCCAGATCCAGGTGATGACGTCACAGCGTGCAGCCAGGTAGCCACACCATCTAGTTGTGTACAAAATGGCCATATTCGGAGCGCGTTCGATTGGGGAACCGTTTGTTGCAGCTTCTTCGGACCAAGACCATTCGATTCAGTGTTACAAACACTACGTACCCTGTGATTTTCAGCTCGGTAAACTTGGAGGTTATACCGTATTTTAGCCGTTTCCGAGTTGGACTTTTCCGTCAGCCTCTACGCGGGGCTCTGCGCTGCGTGCATGCAGTGCGTGCAGTGTGTTATCTAGCTGTAGTAACTAGTATAGTGCAGTCAACACAACTCATCACAGACGGAACTACTCGCGCACTGCCGTGCTGGGCTAGTACTAGTATTGTACAACAAGACTCGAGTCACAACTGACACAAGACTCAGAAAACTAGTCAACACACGGACTTGTCATGTACTACACTCGGATCGGTCGTATTGTAGAGTCATGTAGTCAGAGAACGTGCGTTTCTCCTTGCCGCTGCCGGTGGTTGTGCTTTGAGAAAGAAAATTTTAGTTTTCCGCACCCGCCTCATTATTTTTATGCTACAACGATGAGTGCACAACCGTGACAAGTGACAAAACAGCGAACAGCTCCCGGACCTAGAACTTTCAGATTCCATAGCGTTGCGAGCGAAGAGTCGTGCCCGTGGTTCAAAGAGCCTGCACTGTTCTCCAATTGAGTAGTCCGAAATATTCCAAGTTCGCACCAAAACATCACCATGTGGCAGGCTACTGGAGTCTAAGCGAATCTAATCGGTATGGAACAACATTTAGAGCACTCGCATCACTCTTCTCCATTTTGGCGACCCTGCTCTCCAGCGATCTGATAATTACATCAGCCTCGTCTGCAATAGCTACTGCTTCTTCATCAGTCGGAAACTCAGTAGCGCTCACTCTTGACCGGCCCGCGCGGCCATTTCTTCAGCTGAATACCGAGGTTCTCAGCCCCAGACCGAAGTCATGAAGGTCAGCCATGGCTGCATCCTCACTCTCACAAGGAGTAACAGGTCTTCGGGTCGCTTGCACCACCTAATATCAGTCGCCAAATCATTTGAAATAGCACTGACACTATTGCTTTCACGCACTCCTTTTGACCTAGCTGCACGCTATGACGTTGCAGAGGGTGTGGCGCAGCCCCATGATGTCATGGTGCAGCCCCCGAAACTCAGTTTTTCAAACGGAAATATCTCGAGAACGCTTTGTCGGAGACACGTGGGACCAACACCATTCGACTCAGCGCCCGAAACTCTACCGCCCCTGAAATTTAAATTTTTCACCGGACTTCCCCTTTAAATGGGGCTAGCGGCACTTCCAGTCAAAATCTCACATTCAAAATCTCACAAGAACTATATTAATAAAAATGGTGGCCAATTACGGATGTAGATGCATACTTCACACAAAAAATAGTCCATTTTGGTCATTCTAATTATGATGACGATGATGATCTGAAAAGTGATGGAATGGATATGTCGCGTTTGCATCTAAACTCTTGCCTTGTACAGCACCCTACAGAGAGTACAGTAATAGATCTGGTAAAAAAAAGTTGATTGTAAACGACCAAGCATGGGACTCTGGCTAGCTAAGCAAGCGCCATGGGCAAGTAACAGTTTCAAACCCCTTTCAAAAGCCATGAGTTCTCTCTCTCTCTCTCTCTCTCTTTCTCTCTCTTTCTTTCTTTCTCTCTCTCTCTCTCTCTCTCTCTCTCTCTCTCTCTCTCTCTCTCTCTCTCTCTCTCTCTCTCTCTATCTATCTATCTATCTCTCTATCTATCTCTATCTCGTTCTCTCTCTTGTTTTCCCCACTCCCCTCGTTCTCCCTCCTGTGTCACTTCTGGATACCCTACGGTATTAATTTGTACTATTTAAGTGTGCTATTTTAGAGGACTCTGCATGCATGTTATTGCTCTTGTCGAAATATTTCGACTGACTTTTAACAAAATTTATTATATCGGGAAAATCAAATTTCCATGGGAACGGTCTCTCTCACACTGGAGAATGCCCCTCCTGTAAATCCACTGCATTGCATATGAATAGGTTCTTTCCAGTGCATGCTTGTAAATGTACTCACGTTGATTTCCTGCTCCGGATCGGCCATTTTGCCCACCTCCGCCCGTTGGGAGTGGCCGCCGAGGTGAAAGTGCTCGTCTTCCCTGGGCTTGAGCTGCACGCTGGCACTGGCAGTGGAACGCACACCGGCCGCAGTGCTGTCACCGCGCTCGGCCGATTTCGTGGCGTCGCGGAACAGCGGCAGCAGGTACATGGCCGAGATGGAGAGTGAGTAGAGGAAGAAGCCGAGCGGGAACGAGATCATCGACAGCACGATGTCGCTCACCATGAAGTAGATGCCGACGGAGAGCGTAAAGCCGAAGATGATCACGGCGCACGTGTATGTGCGGCGCAAGGAGGCGAGCCGTGTCCGAGCTGAGCATCGCCGTCGCTTGGTCCGATCCAGGTAGACGGTGTGAGAGTCCAGCGCGATGATCCAAAGCGCGAATGCGAGGTAGCTCGCGTAACCAATGCGTATGGACGTGTTGTGAACGCCACAGACCAGGGAGACGCTAGTGTGTGGCTCTACGGCCGTCTGTCGTCGTACGGGAGCGATGATGTGCGACGAGGCCAGGATGGCGATCACGGAGAGGCAGAGCAGGACTGAGCAGACCACGCGAGACTTCAGCGTGCCGAGCACTCGCTTGGCCTTGCGACGGCCCCTGTGCAGACGTCGGCGTGTACGATCGGTGAGCAGTGGTGACTTCTTGGCCGACATGTGCGACTTGGCCGCGCTCTTCAGACTGTGTAGAGTGCCGGAGCCGCCAGAGTGCTTCTGCGTTAACGTGGCAACTGCCTCGGAGGCGTGCCTGAGATCGGGGAGGCTGATCGCCACCACGTCGCCACTGAAGCCGCTCTCCAGTGCACTGTGGCTGGCGTGCTCAGGAGCTAGGAACGCCATGCCGCTGGGTCGCTTAGGCAACCACGAACCGGACACCCGCACGGTATCCTCGTCCTGCAGTACGCTGTGCCTTGGACCACCGGTCGACCCGCTTACGGACTGCTGCTGCTCGCTGGAGTTATCGATCGACGTTGCTAAGGTGTTGCCGCGCATGAGTTTACGCGGCAAGCGAGACTGGTGCGTGGCAATGACCACCATCGGTGCCATGGCAACACTGAACAGAGCCGCTGGGCCGATGGACAGGATGGAGCAGATCGTATCCGTCGGCTTCATCAGCCATGGTATGAACACAAGCTGAGAAAAGGCTACAGCGGTTGAAGTTATTGCTATCAGCGGCTTCTCGATGGACCACTTCAGAGAGCTGTTAAACAGAAGCAGGAGAGTATACACAATGGCGGATACCGTTACGCATGCACAGAGAACTAGCACGCCGTACGCGATCCCTCTCTTGCCGATGTAGTCGACTTCGACGGGCACGCACGCGGTGTGCTCTGCGTTGGCGTACGCCTCGGGCTCGCATTCCCGGCATGCTTGGTCGCCTGCACGCGAATAGCGTTGACCAGCGCAGGGCAGGCAATCGAAGCAGCACTTCGACGGCCTTCCCTGAGCATCCAGCATGTGGCGGATCCGATAGCCGGGATGGCACGGATGGCTACAGATGGACTGGGGCGGTATTGTGCTGCCGTTGTTCCAAATAATTGCGCTGGTGATGTTCACGCGAACGTCCAGCATTTCCACTTCCAGCACCTCATCGTCATGACAATTAAACTCCGTTTCGCCTTTATGGCTGTGCACTGCGTGAGCTGAGCCGACTTCAACGTAGCGAGGCACCAACGCACGGCTACCGTTTCCCACGTCATCGCCCGGGAACAGCTGCAGGTTGCCTATTGTGTACGGGACCTGCGTTGGATCCCCGGTGGATGGGTCGAAGCGGGTCTCGACTCCGTCTAGGAGGCTGCGCACCGGTTGCGCTACGAGCTGCGCCAGAAGCTTCGGCCCGTCCAGTTGCCTGTGCCTCAATTTACGTATCGTCCGGCGTAAATCCGCCTGGGAACATTCCTTGCCGTTCGCATCGGCACATTCTTGTGCCACGGTGGCGTTGATGGCATAGGCGATTGCTTGCGCTGCGTCGAAGGCAGGTGCCACCTTGCCATTCAGGGCAAGCGTCACGTCAAGGATCAGCTGGCTATCCACGCACTCTGTTTGTCCTCCGGCAATATCCTCCTCGACGGAGCAGTTGAACATCACCTCCCACACCGGCCTCACGAACGGATTGGGGCTACTCGCAGGATTGATGGAGAGCATGTGTTCTGTGATGCGTGTGCCGTGGCGTACGTTTGGTGCAAATCCTATCATGCCGCGCAGATCATTCAGGAGTGCATCGGGTATGAGGTCCGCAGCGAAGGCCCAGCTGTCCGGTGCCAGAAAGGTCGTCTTGTTCGTCGTCAGCTCCGGACGGCCCAACACGGCGTTGAAGTACAAAGCGGCTGTGCTGCGCTGCGCTGCGATCAGGACCACTGTGGCAGTGGAGCTGACGTTTCGGTACTCTTGCCCCCGCTCAAGCAGCGCCGCGATAGCGGTGAGCGTCTCCAAGTCTGGCACCGCACTGAGAACCACAGTCCCGACAACGCACAGATCCCGCTCGTCCGCTGCCGTGCGGAAGTCGCTCGCCAGGCGCTCTGCGTAAAGGTCCCGCGAATGTATTAGCAGTATACTCTTCCAGCGCTGCTGCTTGGCGAACTCCGCTATGATGCTGGCCTGTTCCGAGTCCGGGGGAACCACCCGCAGGAAATACGGGTAATAGCATTTGTTACTCAGCTCTACTGCTGTGGCTGAGTAGCTGACCATAGGCAGAGAAAACAGTGATACTAGACGTGCAGCCGATATGCTGAGCTTGCTACTGGGTGGGCCCAGCATGGCAGACACGGGCGGGTGAGTTCGCCGCAGCACTCCGTCACCAGACGGTCCAGCTTTCGCCTCTGATCTTGCCGCTGACTGCTCTTCGCACGTACCCGTGGCCAGTCCGGCCAAGCGGTGGACGTACTCTAAAGTTTGCTCTTTGATGACTCGCTCTGGCATTCGGTTACAAGTCGCCTTAAAGTCATATCCCACTGTTAGAGTTTTGCCCAGCTCTGCCTGCGCTAGTTCCACACCCCAGCGTGCCGATTCAGGGATTTGAAACGAAGCCGATCCGGGAAGGAGCTCACATCCCTCCTCCTCATCGTTCCACACGCCTTGCACGTAGACGAAGCCACCCACGACGAAATCGGCAGTGGTGTAGTTGCATGGCCGGAGCCGTGCCGCAAGAGTTCCACTGTTGCCGTGTGCATTGTCTTCGTCGCATGGCCCAATCATTCGGCGGAGTATTGGGCCAGCCACGACAAAATTAGCACTTATGGCGACTAGCAGCAGTATGCAAGCCAGTCTGGACTTCATATCGATCACGATTGTTTGAAACTTTGGCTTCGAACCCTAGTGTAGTGAGCTCGGCGAGGAATTCTTCTTTGGTCGAATTACGGACTTTCGGGTGTCAACTCGAATCCCTAATAGAAGTACCCAAACGTGTATTGGAGAATTGGAATTGGAGTGTCCAAACCGGCGTCGCAAGCGTCGAACATCACCACATGTTATTATGTGGGGGCCACCGTGTGCCTAGACGGTGCAAAACAGACAGCCTAGTTAGGTTACTCCTGAAGGTGACACGCAGAGTCTGGCGTTGCTACTAGATAAACAAGCCAGGCTTTCATCCACACGCCGAGCGCTCGAGCAAAGTAAAATCACACTTCACTGCTACTGCACTGGTGCATGTAATAATATTTTATGGAAGTAGCAGTCCCTTCTGAAGCGTGCACTATCCGTTTTGAGTTGCTACATACTGCTGCAGTACTTGATCAATGTTCAGAGCAAAGCCTCCCAAAACAATACCGGGTGCTGACAAAATCTAAAACCAAGGGAAGGACTGGCAACTAGCAATCGATACAAACAACCTACCGCCGGTATATCAACCAAGTCAACCTATGTCAAGTAGTTTCATTTTCATACTTGTCATTCTTGAAAGGGCGACAGCTACCAGTGGTAATGCCAGCACCGCGTTTTCAGTTCGTGTTCGAGTGGAGAACCATCGCTGGCTTCGAAGCTGGTGTCCGACGGACGTCCAGAAGTTCCGAACAAACTTCCCTCGCGAGCACATTGATACGGTTGAAGCGAAATTCCCTCACACTGCACTGGTGACAACGCTGGCAGACTTACCGGCAGTCAAGGAACAAGGACCTTCACTCGGCAATGGCAGTGCACTAGTGGTGTCTGTGAGTGGAATATGGACTGTATGATACGACCAGCGGCTTACACGGGAAGTGGCGTCATTTTCCACAAATCTCGTTTCATTCACAACCATTTGACTGCAGTTTCAGTGCAATTTCTGCCACAAATTCAACTCCAAGAGTACGAGGAAGCTCAGCGGATCTCAACAAGAACCTTCGCCCTTCACCTGCAGTGGAACATGGACTGTATGATACGACCAGCGGCTTACACGGGAAGTGGCGTCATTTTCCACAAATCTCGTTTCGCTCACCCCAACTCAAATAAAATTGAAGTACAATTAGGGATTTATCTTGCATTTCCATCGCCTCAGAATAAATTAACTTCGATAAATGAGAGAGAATGAGTGAGGCAGCTGGAAGGATGAAAATAGAGATCAGAAGACTCGACGAAGCAATCGTACGTCTCCGTGCTCTAAGAGAAATCGGAGATTGTCCCAAATAGTATTTCAAGACTTGAAGACATCACAATTTTCGAAAATAATAATTTCCTGGGCTCGCTACGCCGTTCCCTGGCAGCGTTCCCCGGCAGCGCGAGGCAAAGATGTTTTCTGGGAACGTGTGCCGTTTCCTCTCCCGGCCTTTTACGACTCCCATTTGAACTTCATACTGTTCGTCTTCTTTTTGACATGCTCTCTTTCCATCGTCCTTAGCTTTTGTTTGTTGTGAGCTGTTTTGGCTTTCTCCTATACCTCTGGGGGATGCCAAGTGATGGTGTTGAGAGGCTGGTGATGGCTGTGAGCGAGAGTTTGCCGGTCGGCGTCGTCCTCGCTATAGCGATGAAAATACTAGTTACTGCGCACCTGGCAGATATCACAACACGTCTAAGCATCCAGGAGCAAAGGAATCTTGGGTTTTCACTGGAATCTAGTTCTTCCAGCATCGTGTAGCCCACCGTCGGTGAATGGCCGTCCAGAAAGGTCGAACCTGGTCTTCTGCAGCATCTCGCAGTCCTGCGAGGCACACCGTGTACGCCTGCCATGTATTGTACAAATAAAACTCATGCAGTAGTGGACTCTACAGTGATGAGTCTCAGCCTGTATGCTGCAAAAGACACAGGAAATGTGACTGGTGTCTGTACACTCAGTGACTGGACGCCAACACCCCAGTCTTCTCCTGCAGGATCTGTTTGACATTGACATTATGCAGTAGGTCGGCATTGACCTGGTTTGGCAGCTATAGTAATAGTATCTGCCTGGTTGGATGGAGCAGGTTGGCGTTTGCTCGTCGTCCAGTCCGGAATTTTCTTGTAACTCACGGTGGAGTACACGCAGGGTTTGTGATCATCCCTGTTCACTTCAATATTATCAAACACAACGTTCCCTTTGTCACTCATCTTATCCTAAGTACTGAATTTGCTGACAATATTGGACCACACTTGTCACAACCTACCGCCACTGCTGGGGGGGGGGGGGGGGGGGGGCGACTGGTTCGTCAATGGCGGTGACCAGGCCGACTGACTAGCTTCAAGACAGCGGCCTCGTTGTCAACCCAGCCTAAAGGCAGACTTTATCAATCCAGTCTCAGCGCCATGTTAACGATGCCCTAGTAAAGTGATTGCATTGCCATCAGCGGTCATTGCCGTTCACCTTCGTGCAGCCCTGAACAACTGGCTCAGCCCATGGGAGTCTCAAGAGGACAAAGTTGTTGCCAAAATAGCTCAGCAGATTGGTGCATCGTGGTGTAGGTGAGCACATAACTAGGATTTCCCAGCGCCTATTTGTCCAGGCTGCGATTGGACGTGACATGCTGTACTGCACATTCTTTTCAGCACTGCAAGGCCGGTAGCTGGACCGACTGCAGGGGGCCAAGCACCTGCAGGCTGCCTGTTGCCAGTGCAGCATTCTGGAACGTTCTTTCCTTCTGAGATCCGTGGAATAATAACTTCCTTTGCTTCAAAGCAAGTTGCTTACCTTTCTGTTGTGCTCATAGTGTCCATACAACAATAACCTACTGCAATGTTTTATTTTCCTTTCCATTCCCCAACCAATAAATACTACAATGTCGATTCTCTTTCTGCATACTTTAGTGTGTGCCCGCGCGCGCACATGTGTTTGTGTGTGTATACCCACTCACTCGCCACTCGAAGTTCTGTTTCCCATGACTGAAACACTGCCTGTCCTGTCAGGACCTGCCATCATCTGCGGATGGGTATTACTGTATTGTGTGTGTGTGTGTGTGTGGGTGTGTGTATGTGTGTGTTTCATTCAGAATAAGATTCGCTATCGTTGCTATAAGAAAAAATATGTGGGTTCACATCCAGTGCATTTGTAGATTTGCGTGCTTTTCTCGCCACGGGTGCATACATGGAAAATTGTGTGTATGTGTGTGTGTGTGTGTGTGCGCGCGTGTGTGTGTGTATGGGGATATTGTCTGTATCGGCTTTTGGTACTAACGTTCAAGTCTGTGCTTGCATGTGTGAACATGACATTGTTCGGTTCTGTGCATGCTGTGTTGTATATTATTGTATGTATGTGTGCATTTCCACGAACAGTGTAGATGAGCGTGGACAGTGCATTCATCCCTCATCAACCACTTCCCCTTTCAGGCTTGGGCTTACGAGAGTTTTTTCTGCGTGCCTCTCATTTTTGTTTGTTTCTCTCTGATACTGTATTGATGCCGGTATCTGTACCTCGATGTGTTCCTCTATCTGTAGTCGCCTTTATCCTTCGGTCAAGTTAACGTTTATTGTGCTCTATTTATCGTGCGAATCAAAATAAACAATAATAACACAAGTCATGCTAGAGTGACGACATGTGCGTGTAGTAGGGTTGATGCGATGGGACGTTATAATTATGTGGAACAGAACACACATTGGGCAGATTGATTGGGCATATCTCCAGTGACAGATTGTAGCAGCTAGCCTCTACTAGGTAGCTGGCAATAGTAGCTTTTGCTTGTTTGACAGGTGCCGCCAGTACCCCTGTTGTGTCATGCTATAGATGCACATGCCCTATTCTGGGGCATACTGAGGTACTTTGATTTTGTTGACTGCATGTAGGCAGCATCCACTAGTAGTACTCATAGACCTTGGCTCTTTGTAGGTCAACCACCATCGCATGGATCGATCGGTGACTATGCACTTGGAGGTTGGAATAGCCCGCGCTGAACAGATCTTGCCATGGCCCAGGGAGTAAACTCGCTTACTCGACTATCCCGGTTTTAGTCATCCAGCATCAGTGGCGCAATTTGTCCATACCATGTTGCGAGCTCACAGTTGTTTGGGCAGGTTTTGAGCTGCACCACGAAACAAAGCGAAATAAGCACGACTGTAGAGCAAGGAAACGGCGAGACGGCACTTCCAGGACGAGACAGGCAGTAGAGATGTGTTCACAGCACGAGCAACCTCTCAAACCCTGCCGGTACTCCACAGTTACAAGAAAATGTCCGACTGGACGACGAGCCAATGCAAACCTGCTACATCCACCCAGGCAGATAGCTGCCAAACCAGGCCAATGTCGACCCACTGCATACCGGTATGTCAATGTCAAACAGATCCTGCAGGAGAAGACTGGGATATTGGCGTCCAGTGTACAGACACCAGTCATATTTCCTGTGTGTTTTGCAGCGTACAGGATAGACTCATCACTATAGAATCCACTACTTCGTGATTTTTATTTGTAGAATACATGACAGGCGTATTTAGTGTGCCTTGCAGGACTGCGAGATGCTGCAGAAGAGCAGGTTCGACCTTTCTGGACGGCCATTCACCGACGGTGGGCTACACGATGCTGGAGGAACTAGATTCCAGTGAAAAGCCAAGATCCCTTTGCTCCTGGACGCTCCGACGTGTTGTGATATCTGCCAGGTGCGCAGTAACTAGTATTTCCATCGCTATAGCGAGGACGACGCCGATCGGCAAACTCTCGCTCACAGCCATCACCAGCCTATCAAAACCATCACTTGGCATTCCCCAGAGGTATAGGAGAAAGCCAAAACAGCTCACAACAAACAAAAGCTAAGGACGATGGAAAGAGAGCATGTCAATAAGAAGACGAACAGTATGAAGTTCAAAATGGTTTTGAACACTCGTTCCACCAACTATACCACTTTCAATAAATCGTGACGCCATTTTGTTTTAACACGCATACGGTCCGTTGACATGCCCCCTTTAGAACACAGACAATCTGGTCGATCTATTGATTGGGTGGAGGCGAGGGAAGAAAAACAAAGCAACAGTTGCTTCAAAGCGCAATGCCGAGAGGTCCTAGGCTATATCCTGCAGACGGTCTGAAGTGAATAATATTATTATGGCTCCGAAGCAGCCTCTGGCTGGGTGCAAACATGACTGTCTGTGTTCCTTGCCGCTACCGGCGTCAGACTGCATGCAGCATCTGGCAACTGAACATGAGCAGTTTTGCAGAAGCATACTACACCAGCAGCAACTAACTAATACTTACCTGCCAGCCGGTTCAAATTAGGGGGCACTGTCTGTGCGTGTTCATGGTCGAGGGTGCTAAAATGAAGCCTCGCATGAAAACTAGTCGCTCATGGCAGTGGCTACCAAGCACTGCTGTTCCTGCTAGCTGTTGGCCGTGTCATGCTGGTGATAATTATTTATGGTGATGCCAATGAGTGATGGTGGTGGTGCTGCTGCTGCGTTCCATTGGTGTAGTTGCTGCTGGTGGCGTTGGTGGCGGTGCTGCTCGTAGTGGCAATGCCGATATAGTGTTGGTTTTGGTGGAGTCGTTGTGTGCACTTATTAACTTCGCTAGGCCTAGCGCATGTAGATCTACATGTAAATGTACGCATCATCGCTACCACTAGCGACTATCCCTTGGAAAGAACGTAGTTGGGCACGTGACGCTGTGCGAGCTCTTGAGTCTTAGTCTTACTGCACGCCATCTCGCTATCCCTTTCGTGGTTGCCACTCTTACCGGTGCCTGCACAGTGCATAGTCCGTGCAAAAGGTACACTGAATGTCCAGTGGAGGCCGACATTCCAAAGGGCAGTTGCTTTGCATCTGGACGTCGTCCTTTCGCACAAGGTGGCTCGACATCACACCACACACACACACACACACACACACACACACAAAGTCTAGCGCAAGTGCGATCCCGCACACCGGCTGCACATTCGCCACCAACAGCAGCAACACCACCACCGAAACCAACAGCAACAACACCACCAAAACCGGCATTAACAATACAACCAACAGCAACGACTCCACCAAAACCGACACTATCGGCATTACCACTACGAGCAGCACCACCACCACCACCAACGCCACCAGCAGCAACAACTACACCAATGGAACGCAGCAGCAGCACCACCACCATCACTCATTGGCATCACCATATCACCAGCATGACACGGCCAACAGCTAGCAGGAACAGCAGCAGCAGCATCAATAGCAGCAGCATCCACATATTCATCATCAGCAGCAGCAGTACCAGTAACGTCAGCAGCAGCAGCAGCACCACACTATCACCACTCATTAGCATCATGGTTATCACCAGCATGATACAACCTACAGCTAGCAGCAACAGCAGCAGCCACGTCATCATCATCAGTAGCAGCCACATCATCATCATCAGCAGCAGCAGCAACAGCCACATCATCATCATCATCAGCAACAGCCACACCATCATCAGCAGCAGCAGCAGCCACACCATCATCATCAGTAGCAGCCACATCATCAGCAGCAGCAGCAGCAACAGCCACATCATCATCATCAGCAACAGCCACATCATCAGCAGCAGCAGCAGCAGCAGCCACATCATTATAATCAGTAGCAGCCTCACCATCCACAGCAGCAGCAGCAACAGCCACATCATCATCATCAGCAACAGCCACATCATCATCATCAGCAGCAACAGCCACATCATCATCATCATCATCATCATCAGCAGCAGCAGCAGCAGCCACATCATCTTCAGCAACAGCGGCAGAAGCAGTAACGTCAGCAGCAGCACCACACCATCACCACTCATTAGCATCACGGTTATCACCAGCATGATACAACCTACAACTAGCCGCAACAGCAGCAGCCAGGTCAAGAGCAGCAGCAGTAACGACAGCTGACAGCAACGTCAGCAGCAACAACACCAGGACAGAACACATAGCCGGGTAGGCAGCGGCTACTGGCCAGAACGACGTAGCAGGCGCCACATTGACTTTCCACATTTTGCAGTTATCTTTTGGGGGGGAAAATAAAAATCATGAGCAAATAACGGAGGTAAAAACTTGTGCAGAGCAGTGGAGAGGAAATAGGACTCAGAGAAGGACTGCCTTGGGTACAAAAAGGATTAGTGTAAAAGGCAACTGCAACTGCCTTGCCCGGTGTAAAAAATATGCAGCAAATCACCACGTGAAGCACTTCTAAAATAATACGTCAAAGCTTCACGGAAGGATAGACAGCTGCGAGGTAAATAAACGGAGGAGAGGGCAAGCCAAACTATTGATTGATCTGAGGAGGGTGGCAAAGGAGTGTTGTTCGAATCTTCTGAAAGAGCACCACTGCTTTCGAGTTGTCAAGTTGCAACTAACAACCGTACTCTATCTCGCAATTATTTGAGCCGAACAAAGGACTAGCCAAAAGAGGCTTGATTAGAAAAAGGTCAAAACCCTCAAGTGAAATGTGGATAAAATCACTAAAAACCTTATTGCACTTATAGTAAAAATAAATGCACGCAAAATCCACTTACAGAAACCGAATCGCAAGGTGGGCCGCTACGACATAAAAAAGCCAGCAATGCGCGAACTATGTCGGCCAATTGCTCAGCTGTCGGACGAGCCTAGTTTCTCGATCAACTCCTGAAGCGGCTGCAGCTCACGTTTTTCTACGAGATTGAACTCGGCAATGAAGAAGTTGAAGTGCTTGAAGCTGGTGTTCAAATGAGCCTCCTCACCCAGATGAATTACGGACTGGAAATGCTGATGGTAGACGTGTGCGTAAACACGGAACAGTCGCTTCAGAATGGTTTTCGCGGTTGACAGGAAATTTTTGGGGAATGGCACGCCGACTTTGGATGGGAAGATGCTCTCGTCATCCAGCTGTTCTTGTACCCAGCTCATCAAGTAGTCCATGTACTTGGGTGCTGAGCATTTGATGGGTTTCTTGACACTCTGGCCATCAGCCCAGTGATACTCAAATCGAGGACCGGCGGACATGATCGGGCAGCTCTCCGCCGTGCAGTGTTCGCTGACGCTGCCATACAACATGTTGATCTGGTTGAAGAAATCCACAGTGTTCACTGCCACCCACTCATTCATGTCCTCTCCATCAGGCAGCTTGACGGCTTCGCGAAGATTTCCACTACCCAGCGTGGCCGCGGCATGCTTCATGAGCTCATACTGGTGGGTGCCCTCCGGGATGTTCTTTTTTGGGCGAAACGTCTTGCTGCTGTCTTTGCCAGAAAACATCTTGAGAATAGATGAATATCTGAAGAATAGATTCTATAATATTTTTGTGAGATAATTTCCTTGGCCGTCGAATTCTAGAGATAAGTAAAAACGAGCCGAGAGGTAGTCCCGCCCCAGGTAAGGCGAAGCCAACGTCGCGAACAAGGATGGGATGAAAATTACTATTGAGAAGCAGGCGAATCCAGCGTCCTGCGGGTAAAAACTAAAATCCACTGCTGCGATATCAACCACAAAAAGCAGCCCCACTGCATGAACTTGTGCAACGAAAGGATGAAGCTCACCACTTTTTTGATTTTTCTTGGCAATGTTTTTTTGGTTTGCACGTAGATCTACCGTATCAGGCGGCCGCGTGCTAGCATGCTGCATGCACTTGCCTGCAGTCCCAGCTAGCATCCAGTGCATGCAGCGTGAAATTCAAAAAAAGTTCAAAGAGGTACACATCATACACCACTACAATCATGCACTTGCTTCAAGAATAGAAAGTCAGAAGACGAACACAGACAACTATTTTTTTTTCATGCAAGCGATTTGGTTTCTACCAGCAACTAGCGTATTACTACGGTCTAGTCCTGACCAGAGAAATCCGACCACATGAATATGATAGCGCCGAGGGCTATGCCGCGGCCCTAGCACCACACACACACACACACACACACACACACACACACACACACACACACACACACACACACACACACACACACACACACACACACACACACACACCACTGCTCACTTCAGCACGGCGCTACTTTATCCACGAGGTCGGATTTCTCTGGCCAGACCTGTGGTATGTTCCGTGCCCGCAGCATTCAAAAACAACTCAGTCGGACCTGCATATACTAGAGATGTGCAAGCAAGCCGACAAGAAAATACGTCAGGCAGTCTTCGAATGCATACCGACTCCCCACACGCACGCCTAACCCACACGACAACTCTGCACACGGAAACAAGCACAAATCGCCCTCGAAAACAAGCACAAATCGCACTCGTCAAGCGGCAAGTTAACGGAACGGTGGTGCCTCGTTCATCGCCAGCATGGGGTCGGAATTAATCAAGCAAGCGAGTGCACCACTGTAACACCATTGTCATGGCCGCACGGAATGAAATCAAAAATCAAGAACGATAAAATCACAGTCCGTGGCGGAATAAGCCAGTCAGGCATTTCTACATCAGCTGGAGTACCGGCGGTACGTAGCATCAAGGATAAAATAAAATAAGTACTTGCATCTTTTAAAAGTTACGCGAGCTACAACCTCAAGCAGAATCCACAAGCCACAAGCCAGCTAAACGACATACACCCGCGCCAGCACGGGTGACCCAAAGGAGAATGCATCCAAAACACGGGCATGCAGACGCTACTTTGACAGGTAAACAAACTAACCAGTACTAAACACAGAGTAAAGAAAGAAAGAGGGTGAAGCAACAGACGGGGAACAGTCATAATGGTGGCGTTGGTGGTGTCAGAGCGCAGTCCGCTGCTGTGGTAGCCGCACTCAAATCACACATGGCAACCAACACAGTCCATGCTTCCCAATGCTAGTGCTGCTTCAGCCTGTCCCGCTGCCTTATTAAAATAAACATAAAAGAAAATGCTCGGGACTACGGTGTGGTGTGAGCAGCCATGAGGTTCATGCAAAGAGCTGATCGCCATTGCACATTACTCAGCTGAGTACACTGTCCGGACCTCATCTCCAGAAGGCGTCGTTTCACGCGCTATCCCGGGCTGGGACTTCAACAGTCTGCTAGCTACTGAGAGAAAGTGCCTTCGTAGCACACAATCGAGAGGTCGCTGTTGCCCAACTATCACATGACCATACAGGACAGTGCCTTCGCAAACAATAGAGCTGTTGCGCATGCATTACGTAACCATACCGGACAGTACTTTGGCAAACAATAGAGCTGTTGCACAATACGTAACCATACCGGTCAGTACCTTGGCAAATAATAGAGCTGTTGCACATGCATTACGTAACCATACCGGACAGTACTTTGGCAAACAATAGAGCTGTTGCACATTACGTAACCATACCGGTCAGTACCTTGGCAAATAATAGAGCTGTTGCACATGCATTACGTAACCATACCGGACAGTACTTTGGCAAACAATAGAGCTGTTGCACATTACGTAACCATACCGGTCACTACCTTGGCAAGTAGTAGAGCTGTTGCACAGTACGTAACCATACCGGTCAGTACCTTGGCAAATAATAGAGCTGTTGCGCATGCATTACGTAACCATACCGGTCACTACCTTGGCAAGTAGTAGAGCTGTTGTGCATCTATCACATGCCCATACGCGAGCCATGTTGGTTCTAAAGTTCTAAACACCAGTGAATCCCTGATGTCGGTGGTGTTGGCTCCACTGTTCGCATGCCATGTACACGTTCTGCATGCTAGTAGATGCAGTAACATGACCAAGATGTCAAGCAAGTCTGCAGCTGGAGAATCTCAATGTAGCGAGGTGCGCATCGTGCGTTACTCTTCGTCGTCAACAAACGCCAACAAATCATCGTCCGTTAGGTCGGCAATCTCCGAACAGGATTCGGCAGGGCCATCGGCAGCCTTCACGTCGCCAGGTGCATTGGGACCGTGCAACTGCTCTGCCACTGGAGGAGCCACAGTCCATATGGTACTGGAAGGCACATCGGCTGCCGCAGACCTCGACTTGTCGTCGGCTGTAATTTCTGCAGCACCGTCATCGCCGAATATCGCATCATACATGGAGTCATCGACCAGGTTGGTGATGTCATCCGAGCATGAGATGACGTCATCTGAACTAGCGATGTCATCACAGTTCCCTGGCACTCCCGTGTCATCCTCAGCAGAGAAGTGATCAAGGTAAACATCGGTCAGCTCCAAGGCAATCAGAACGGCGTCAAGCTCATCGCCCGTCAGCTCACCATCCTCGGCTTTCTCCTCCTATACAAGTGCACACGTACACACATGTACACGTATACACACACACGCACGCACACACGCATGCACCCACACAAACAAAACAAAAACAAATAAACCGAAGATCATAGAAGTACAAACAAGGCCAGTCAAGCCAGCTCTAAGCAACACAATGCAGAAGTATAGACCACTAACTGCAGGAATGCCAAGACACACTGCGCAGTGGGAACATTTTCACACGGAAACAACAATTCTTATGATTCCACTATAGACAGTAGAATTCTCTGTCCACACAGCGGTCAAGACCAAAAAAGTGCAGGGCTGCCATGCACAGAGCGTGGACGAAGGTTTTGTCCGCTATTCGAGTTTCACACAATGCAATCGTCTTGTTAGAAAAGCTCTGCCAGAGTATTACAAGTACAATTGGGTAAACCAAGTATCAAACAAAGCTTGTTCTGCGACTCAAAAAGACACCCAGAAGTGGTTCCATTTCCAAAGCAACTTGGCTACACCCAGCCACCACAAACCTCGTGCAGCCGAAATAGCTCAGTTGGGAGAGCGTTAGACTGAAGATCTAAAGGTCCCTGGTTCAATCCCGGGTTTCGGCACTTCTTTTTTCTTTCTTTTTTGATACACCGTGCGATACACACTCGCTGAAAACTTTCACTGAATAAATTTCTTTTTCTTAGGGGCAGAGTGGTACACAGCAAGAGGCCATCCAAGTTTACCAATCGTATTTTCAAAACAAAGAGTATTCGTTTGGGGGCAGGGGTAGGTTTTTAGGAGTTTCGTTTTGAATTAATCATTGAATGAAGCTGTCAGCAGGACACTACAATGCTTGGTGCGGGAATTAGACATTGAGGAGCATGAAGCCAACGAGCATTCGGCGGGTAATCTGCCGTCAGAGGATGTGGACGCGCTCTTGGAGAATTACCGCTGTGCTGCTGAACGTCTCAAGAGAAAAGTGAATAAATGTTAATTGATGTAATGAAGTAGCGTGCTCTACTGCTTGAAGGGTTCTCAATACCCCAATAGGGCAGAGCCTTCCACACATGAATCAATTGACGTTGCTGGTTTGCCCGCACTGACCAAGGCACAACGTACTCAAGTTGACGTGTTAAAAACAAAACAGAGATCGATGTGTAGACGAGCGACATGGAGACAACATTTGATGATCGCGATGAACAAGGCAAGCTGAATAAATTTCTTAACGGCTTTATTGCATTCGGAAGAACAAACGAGAGAAAGGAGTACTCAACAAACTCTGTAACTCTGCGGATCTTCGCAAGGCATATGACTGCCTTTCCGACAAGAGTTATGGCTAGAGCCGAGTTTCCATTTCAATTACATCATGCATGGTCAAAAACCCATGGAAGGGCCACAGGGGACACATATGAGCTTCGGCGCAGCTTTCGGCTCAGGGGTCAGATTTTCTTTCGCCAGAACTGTCCCACCTGAAGACAAGGTCATACAAAGACTACAGATCCGCATCTAAATATACAGCAAGGCAGTGGTGGCCGAGTGGTTAAGGCGATTGACTAGAAATCAATTGGGCTCTGCCCGCACAGGTTCGAATCCTGTTCACTGCGAGGTGATAATTTTTTGGACATTTTGCGGAACATTGAAGCTTCACACAACATAACTTTCTGCAATGTCATGTGCTACACATACGGCGAGCTGTTTTCCAATACGGAACGTCGCCACTCTTTTTCTTTTTTTCAGCACTTTTGCCAATAGTCCACAATCAAGGGTGCGCAACTCCTATCTCGAGCTCCACACTTACCTGTTGTGAAGAGGGCGACGTCTGAAGTGCATCGGGAAGCAATTGTTCCGGAGAACGATATCCACTACGTCGGCAATCCGGATCATGACATTTCTGATAGTACGTGCCGAGTGCTAGGTCCACAACAATCCTACGACAATCAGGGCCAGGCATGATGGGCACCGCGTGCACACACACACACACACACACACACACACACACACACACACACACACACACACACACACACATGCACACACACACACACACACACACACGCATGCATGCACAGTGACCACAAGAGAGTTGAACCCAAAACGAGGCTGCGTAAAACTCTCTATCTATCATGTAAAGGGTGCAGACAATGTGTACGGGTGGGTGGGGGATGCTGAAAAATACTAAAACTTTTCATTTTCGTTGGTTTTGAGGGAAAGATGCAAACGGGAAAAGTCTGAAGAAAAAATCATGTCCCAAACCAGGACTCGAACCAGGGACCTTTGCTTTGAAATAAAATAAAAATAAATTGGTAACCCCGGACAACTTACCTCTCGATTGGCAATCGACTGCACATACCACTGCACCGTGTGGGGGAAACTCACGGGCGCACACGCACGCGCATGCACACACACACACACACACACACACTACTACTACTACTACTACTACTGTAGCTTGGTTGCCACAAGGGCCACACCACTCCGAAAGGAGCCAGAGTCATTGTCAGGAGCAGAAACGGAGATGACGACTCAGGTCACTCTGTCGACGGAACTGACGGCTGCAGCGAGAACAGCGAACACCATACAACGCTCTATCAGACTTGGTTGCTCGATGGCCACGGTCGCACTTGTGACGTCTGAAACCAGGCACTGACTTGAACTGCCGATTGCATGTCACACACAAGAGAGAAGCTGGGACGTTGAGCGGAATAGGTGATGCCGGCGCGGACGCTTCCGATGGTTCCAGGGGCAAACAATGATGTACACGCAAGCCACCACGAGAGTGAAACCACCTCCTGCATGTACCACACTGCACAGCACCACGCTGTTCCTGGATGGGGAGACTTCGTTCTGCGCTACACTTGTGTCTTGCTTTGTCACCTGGCCGACGAAACGAACGGTGGCAGATAAGACAGTCCACCCGTTGAGATTGGTCATGGGAAGGACCGCCGAGGCTCGGCCCAACGGCAGACACCCGCCAGGCAGATCGATCCTGAGCAATCCCATACCAAGCTAGATGTTCAATGCCGATGTGCCGAAGATCAGCCGAAATCACATCCCTCCAGCGACGACGGGGACCACACGCAGGCCGAGGCGACGGTAGGAAGCCAAACAACAGCTGCTTGGGCACACGAACATCCGACATGCGGGCCACATGGCCAAGCCATTCAAGCCTCCGCTTCCGAAGCCGGGAGGACAATAGCGATGTATCACCCCACATCTCTCGGAGCTGCTCATTGGTGATGCGTTCCTCCCACTGTTGTGTTCGCGAAACACACAAGATGCTACGGATGCATTGGTGGTGGAAACTATCGAGGCGCCGGAGGTCACCCTGCAAAGGGCACCAGCACTCCGAAGCATACAGTAGCACTGTCATCACACAGGCGTTATACAAGCGGCGCTTCACATGGAGTGAAAGATCACGATTAGCAAACACATCCTGAAGCGATCCAAAGGCACGCGAGGCGAGTGACAAACGCCTCGAAACGTCTCCCGCAGAACGCGCATCCGGAGTGATGACAGAACCCAGATAAACGAAGGAGGAAACATTTTCCACCACCTGTCCATGAAGCGGAATGCCAGCAGTGTCAACTGAAGTAACACCAACACCAGCCACCATAAACTTGGTCTTGGGTATACTCACAGTGAGGCCAAATTCAGCAGAAACATCCTGGAACGCCGTCAAGGCCAACACAGCATGCTCCCGCGAACCAACTACAAAGTTTGCATCGTCCGCATACTCAACATCAACAACAGCGGTCTGCTGATAGGTACGGGTTCGTCGTGCTGGGTTGAATAACTGGCCATCCAAGCGATAGTGAAATTGGATGCCAATGTCTGGGTCACGATCAGCGAGAACAGACCGCCAACGTTCCACCACCAGAGCCAGATAGAGGTTAAAGAGGATTGGGGCCATTACACACCCCTGCCTCAGGCCGTTCTCCACACGAATTTCATCCGTGACACCTCCAGGCACATGCACCTCCGCCACCATGCCATCATGAAATGACTCAATGACCTTGAGGAGAGTCGGAGGAATACCAAGGACAGAAAGAGCACGATACAGTGCAGCCCTAGGCACAGAATCATATGCCTTTCTCAAGTCCACGAAGATACAAAATATTTTTGTACGATGCTCGTATGCCTTTTCCACCAGTTGCCGGACAGTAAACACAGCATCAGCACAGCCACGGTTGGGTCGAAATCCGCACTGAGACTCCGGGAGGAGATGCTCGGCCCTGGATTGAAGGCGGTTCTGTATCAAGCGACCAGCCATCTTGCCCACCACCTCCAAAAGAGAGATCCCACGCCAATTGTCACAGAGCGATAGATCTCCACGCTTTGGGATTGGCACCAGCTGGGCATTCCGCCACTCCTGAGGAACACCACCTGTGGACCAGACAGTCAAAAGCAAGGCCAGCAAACATTCATGCAGCTCACTGGAGCCATACTTCACAAGTTCGGGCAGGATCCCCGATGCGCCAGCTGCCTTGCCATTAGCCATTGCACGTATAGCTCGACCAACTTCCTCAGGAGATGGAGGGATGGCGAGCTCCTCGTCGATGGGCCTGACCTCCAGCGTACCGAAAACGTCCAAGTCATAGAGGCTCCTGATATTAAGGACGTTTGAAAAGTGTTCATACCACCTGGACGAGATGGCCTCCAACGACGTGCATACAATGCCATCGGTGTCCTGGATGGATAGCACCTTCATGGGTGTGATGCCCCCAAAGCATCGCTGAATCACCCGAATGGCAGCCCAGGCACTCTTGGTATTAAACCGCTCAGCCTCCACGATGTCAGCTTGTTTACTGAGCCAACTCTCCTTTGCGGAACGAACAGCCGCACGGGCCTCACCACGGGCCTCCCTGTAGGCAACCAAATCCGCCCGGGAACCAGAGTGACATTTCCGATACAAATCATTCCGGGCCTTCAGAATAGGCTCCAATGTGGCCGCACTCACACACACACACACACACACACACACACACACACACACACACACACACAGGCACACACACACAGGCTCACACACGCACAAAGATCTTCCATCACTTACATGATGTGATTACTCTTGTGATGTCGACGTACGTTCTGACACCAACGATTACCACCGATGTCATAGGAGAGAGTCTTACCTAAGAGAACGACAAGAAAACACAATAATATTGTACACATTGTGCTCAGTCAGTTTTGTGCTACAGTGCGTTTCAAAAATATAGACGCGCGATT